TTAACTTCCTCATTTCATTACCTTGTAATGGTGCCAGGATCCATATTAATGAAATTATTTTGATTATCTTTCATAGATGGTGTGTCAGTGGACAGTTAACAGCCCTGTAAAGGATCTCACGAGGATCCTCGGCTACTTCAGGCCCCAAGGTGTCCCCTTTCTTTCTTCTCTAAGGCTCCTGCCTATTTTCCTCTTTCCTTCTGGGGATTCATTTATCTGCCCTGTTACAGTATTTTTGTCACATTCAAGACTGGCTTAGATGGAGACAAGTCTCTTCTGGACATCCTCTTCTATTGGTACCCCCCAAATGACCTTAGACATCCTTTTCAATTAGTTTTCTTGTTATTATGTTGGAGGACAGATGGAGAAGCCCAGAAATCCATAGGAGGAAGCTGCACTTGTTTAACCTGACTCTGCGGATCATTTTCTTAGAGGGTCCCAAGGGTCTCTCCCATTGGGTGGGTCTGAGGTCCTCTTTTCAAGGCAACTGACTGAAAACTAAGTGGTCCCACTACAGCCCAATGTGAATTTGGTGATTCAGATCTGATGGATTCCTAGTCCCTGCAAGAACCTGCTTGTTGGTCCTTTATTCTGGGCACGCCCCCTGCTCCTCCCCAACATTTGCTCACCCCAGAGACTGGTCACCAACTTCCTTGGCAAGTGTGACATTTCCCCACCTGTGTACCAAATGCCCTTCCTCTGTCTTTAGGCCATTCTGCACTAACTTTGTGCACTTATTATTTTACTTGTCCCTACTCCACCCCATTTTCTTCCCTTCAGGAGAAAGGATAGGTTTTCCACAAGGCCCCGGCTTAGCTAAAGAATGAAAGTAGGCAATACAACTTACTCCAACCCTCCCTAACCCACCCCCATGTGTTGGCTCACCTAAGCCTTCTTGCCTCAAATTCCTGAGAACTTGTTTCCTGGAGATGCAGTCAAAGAAGGAAGTAGCAAAGGCAGTCCTATCTCCCGTCTCCTCACCCATGTATAGTCCCAGAACAGTCCTGGTCTGTGCATCCTCCTCAAGCTGCAACGACAGTGCCCACCTTAGACTTTCACGGACCTGGGTGCTCACCAAAGGAGCTCACCCTGAGGGATGCTGGAACACTGAAGGAGGCATAGCAATCACCCAATAACCCTGTCCTGATGTGCACACACGTCTCCCAGAGTGTTGTCTTCCTGCTCCTTCAGCACAATGGGACCTGGGCCTCTCCAGGCCCTCTCCAGCACAGCCACCACATCAGAAGGCAGGGAAGGGGTTCATTTTCTTTTTCAGCGCACCCATTACTAAGGTTTCCACATCAGTAGCAGAGCTCATTTCTCCTTGGCCAAATGCTTCTGTCTTTCTCAATTCAGCAACATGTGGCAACACCAGAAACAAATGTGTCGTGCCAGTCTCTGTTGGTTTCTCCAGGCAATACTTAACCATGTGTTGACTGACTTGTTATTGAAACAGAGCTTTAAGAAACAAGTGAAAATGAGTTCCTTTTCCCTCGCTGGTCTCTGGATGTTCCCTTTGTCAGCATCAGGCTGTCCTTTTCTGATCTGGGCTATCATCTGGTCCTTCCTCTACATGCCTCTGGTTTCCACCTGAGAAGTCCCCACTCTCTTCCAAACTAGCTCTCCTAAACTTCCACCAGCAGAGAACTATGTCCGCTTTTACTAAATCATGGCCCCCATTTAATGAGCAGTTACTGTGTACCAGACTTAGCATGAAGCAATTTACCTGTCTTTGCTTTTTTCATCCTCAATGATGTCTGCTGAGTTAGATTCTATTATCTAGGCCATTTTGGAGTTGAGGAAGCAGGCTTAGAGTTAAGTACGTTCTCTAAAATTCCATAATCAGTAAGTGGTAGGGCAAGGACACTGTGATTTGAAAACTTGTGGGCTTATAATGCTTCTCTTGAAGATAATGCTGGATTTTTCACCTATTTCTCTGAGCCTAAGAATATGACTGGGGCAGTTCATAATCCATCCAGAACACAGTCCGTTGCACAGCAAACTCAAGCTAGGTGAGCCTCCGGCCACTTCATACTTTTTGGCACTAACACACATCAACTCACTTTGTTGACTTGATTTTTTCTACCCACAGAGGAATGTAAAGATAATGAAATCTGTCAGATGATCTTTTAACTATGTGGCAAACACTCTGAATGCCTGTTTGGCTTGCCACAACAGTCCCCTGGCATATTTTTCAGGGGCATTTGATTTAATCCCCTAAATCAATGCTGTATTTGTTTTCTTATTAAAAAAAAAAAAAACAACAGGATGGAACTTATCAAAATGAACAGGATGGTAGACAGTTTATCTTGGGGATATCCTGGAGGATTGTGATGGGTAAAGGTACAAAGGGGGCTCTGGGGTCCTGGTAATGCCCTTTCTCTTCACCTGGGTGCTAATAACATGGGTTTCATGTCATGAAACATTCATCAAGCTGTCCTCTGGGATTTGTACTCTCTCACCACTCTGATGCCTACCTGGACCACCTCTACCACTCTCTTCTCTTGGTGGGGTCCTCTTCCATCTGTCCCTCCATAGGGGGCCTCCCGTGACTCCTCGATGGAGATGAGGTTTCCCTGCTTTAGGTTCTCATAGATGTGCACACCCCCCTACCCCTCTGGTCACAAGTAAAATCCTCCAATTCATTTTGTGGCTACTGGTTTCATGTGTGTCTCTCTCACTAGACTCTAAGCAGCCAGGGCTTGCCATGTGCACTGGCTTTGCTGCTGTGTCTCCTGGACCTTGCATGGTGCCTGGAATGATGGTGGGGAGGGAAGTAGCCAGAGACCTAGAATAGAGAGGTAGAGGGAAGAAAGAGAGAAGGGGAAGCAGCAGCAGAGGAGGGAGCCAGGAAGAACCGTGTGTCCCAGGAGCTGGTATCTTGAGGTGTCTCTAGACATTGGCCAGAGGGAGCACTCCGAAGTGTCTACGTGAATGAATGAGGATTCTCCAGAGAAACAAGTCATTCCAAGGGAGAGTAGACTCTCCATGGGCAAGACTAGTTCAAGGACTATGTAGCCTGGGTTCACAAAGCATGGAAGGAGACCCTGAGCCCAGTTTGTCTCAGATTTTCTCCTGGCTCAGAGGAGGTTGCAAAAAAGAGCAATTGCTCTGCCAGTTCTGTAGGACACTGAGAGCTGGAGGTGTCAGCCACAGGGGTGTGGGCAGCAGCCTCAGGGATGGCCAGGACACCATGACACTGGCAGAGGAAGAGCGGGTGACTACAGCCCTGGGCTGATGGCTGCATTTCTTACGTCCAGTGGGCACTGGAGGCATAGCCCCGGTGGCCCAGGCATGAGCAGCTACAGCAGGGTCTGTGCACTCGGCAGTGATGGTGGAGGCATGGTTGGGCCTTGTGACACAGTGACCATCTCACGTCCTGTAGGCCATTCTGACTCCGTGCAAGAGGAGCTGGGGCCTACTTGGGGACCAAAGAACTGCATCTCAGAGCTGATGCCAACTGTCTTTCGTGGAAAGGATTTGAGGGGCATGACACACTTCCTTCTGCCCTGGAGGAAGACCAGCTAGAAAATTATGACTCAGGGTCACCCAGTTTAAATCCCCTGGATTTCTCTGAAACACACAAATCCCCGAGGGTTGGCTTCTAAAGAGCACATGTGAATGAGGAGAGAGAACACCAAAGAGCCAACAAAGCCCCAAAAGAAAACGGTCCCTTGGATTTGATACAAGTGTTCTTTCCAGAGCCCCACTCGCCCGTTCTCACAGCACAACTATCACCCACAGCTCTTGTCTCCTGGTACCGAGAACTCTCCTTTGGGAAACAGTTCCCCTTGTAACTCAATACTCCCAAAGAATGCCTCTGGGGCAACAGTGCCTGGTCTGAGGGGGTGGGGGACAACTATTTGATGAAATGGGAGAAGACGAAATCATCATCAGTAAGCAGGAAAACTCCAAGTTATTTTTCTTTAGGCTCTGTCTCAAGATATGCTTATGTGAGAAGGGCCTTCTAAAGCATTTTCACACCATATTTTTGGAAACTATGGCTTTCAAATGTTTTTGATTGCATACCCTATTAGTAAAATCATGTTGCTCACACACACACAGATTGAGGTCTATTTATTCATTAATTATATTCATAAAATAGTGTGTTTATTACAGACTGTATTTATAGTGAAAGTTCTAGCAGAGTGTGTTCCCTGGGGTTCAGGTGTCCCTGTAAATAAATATGAAGGAAGCTAAGCAAGGGTCATAACCCTCACTTCACAGATTAGTCAACCAAGCTTCAGAAGGGAAAGGACTTGCCCAAGTCAGATAGCTAAGAATTGTGGAGTTTCCAGTCACCGGAGGGACCCCTCCACATCTACCTGGCTACTTCCCAGGGGCCACGGACTCAGCCACACTTTCCAGTGCTCTAATCTTCCTTCCGGGTTCTAAATCCCTCTGTTGCCTGCCATGACAGTTTGGGGATGCATCCAGTCACATCGGTTCCTGGTGATTTCCACATTTTTTCTTGCTTTCCCTACTTTACCATTCTCACCTACAACACAGGGTGAGCTGGGCTCTCGGGGTTCTGGAGTCAGGAAGCACCTTGACCCTTTCTCCCCAATCCATTAAGCAGTGATGATGCAGAGACCTTGCCCACGCCCAAGCGTTATTGTGTGCTGAGACCTATCTGGGGAAAGAAGATGGTCTCGCCAACAGAAAGCCCAGGTGATGTGATTTACTCTGAGTGGGCCCTCTGGATGTACAACACCTGGCAACCACACATCCTGTGTGAGAATGAGGCGCAAGAAGGGCTGCTTCCTGGAGCTTCTTAGCACTTCCTCTGTGCTTCAAGGGGGTTTCTGTAGAAACACCCATTTGATTCCCGTAGTGAAACAAGGAAACTGAAATATCTGGAAACAATGAGAGAAACACAATCCAGCAGCCAAGAAATTGTACCTTCAGCTGGGGGCTCCAGGAAGTGAGCCAGGATTGGGAGGAGACAGTCAGCTTGGGCCAAGAAGTGTCTGGAAGACTTTGCAGTTAAACTCACTGTCCTCCCTCCAGGAGGCCCTGAGGCTTGGTCCAGGAGACATTGTTTAACTAAGGTGGGGCACTACCTGGTGAGCGCATATAAGGAAGAGCCTGAGGGAAGAACCCGGAACTCTGGGACGCTGCCACAGGGCTGACTCACCTGCCACCCTCCTCTGCCACTCTCCATCCCACAAAGCTGCTGCTGCTGAGCCAGTCCTGACCTGGAATACTGCTGACATCAGATGCGCTCATCTAGGAAACAGGTAGGTAGGGTGTGATTGGTGACCTCCCGGGGCTTTGGACCAAGGTGGTGGTCCAAACCTGAGTGAGCATATGAATTTCCCCAGAGAGCATCTTAATTTTCAGATGCTGAGCCTCCCACCAGAGCAAATGGTCCAAGGTTAAGCTTTAAGGAAAACTGGGGCAAGGGATGAGTTGACTCCCTAAGAGAAGATCATCTCAGCTTTGCATATTTCCTACAATGACAGGATCTTTTGCTTAATGTTGACATTAAGGGATACTCTGATGGGAGGAATCCCATTACCTTTTCCACCCATGTTCAACTTCTGACACGTAGGACATGTTTAATATTTGCAGAAGGAAGGAATGGGGCCCAGACCTTGCCTTTTGTTTTCAAATGCTCTAGCTTAATAATTACAAGAACAAAGTTGAAAAATCTGGGTTAACCACAAGACTGATCACTTCAGAGATTCAGGTGGTTCCTTCTACCCCAACAGCTGCTTCACAGTCCCTGCCTGTGCCTCTGTGGCTGCTAAGGTTGGGTCATCTTTGAGATGTGATTCTCTTCTTAGGGAGACTGAGTTCTAGCTGTTATGCTTGAACCCAAGCTAACCAGAGTAAACACAGACATTCTCCCTCTGGAGTTCTAGTTGGGTTATGACCTGCCAACTGCCCTGTTTGTCCTGGGAAAGAAACAGAATTTGGCTGACCCCCAGGTGGCATCATCTGGATAGTCATTGAGCACATTCTCTCGCATTGCCCCACCTGTATCCAGCTGGACTTAAACCGTGTTTTTGTGCGTGACACCTGTGGGAGGACTCAATACTTAGCACATTGGGTGATGGGAACATAATCTACAAACATAATCTGTTTGTGTCTCACTGATCCCTCCTTCCGAGGAGAGTCCTGATTCAGATTTGCATATAAAAGGCTCTGACTGGGGACAAAACAGGGAAACTCATTAAGCTGAGTAAGCCTGCACTTTCAAAACCCAGAGCCTGGTTGGAAGCACTGCTTGGGGCCCAGGCCACCCTGAGTTGAGTCTTGCTTCTGTCTTCATCCCCGAATTCTCAGGGGACTACTTCACTACCATGCACTGCTGTTTGCTTTGCAGGAACCGTTTGGAATAAAAAATTCTGTAATATCACGGGAGGCCACATCTGCTGGCCAGCAAAGCTAGTTCTCCCAATAAACAACCAGGAAAGCTTGGCCAAACCCTATTTCCTTATTTTAATAACTAAGATAGTTAACAAGGTGATCCCTAAGGGGCCTGGCAGGCCCTCCTGAACTGTGATGCTCCCCGCCAAAAGGCAGCTGAAGATCCTCTCCTCCTGCTCAGAGACCATCTATTTAGCTAATAAACAAATGCCGGTCTTTAAGAGCCGGTGGAGGGGTGAGGAAGTGAAGGCTGATCCCACTGCCTCCCCCCTGCTGGGTATGGCAGATGCAAAAAGTGTCTTGTCCTGAGGTAGTGACCCAAGATGGGCTCCCTCGGAGTCCCTGGACTCTGGGGTTAACATCCTCGCGCTGCCAATACAGCCACAAGGGACCTTTAAAACTGAGACTGGCCAGGACCTTTGGTTAATTTTATGCTGAAATGATGGTCCCTCGGGCAGTACTCTGCCTCTGATCACTGGCTGGATCAGCTCTGCTGTGCCCGCCTCCCATACCTATAGATCAGGCCTGACCAGGACCTCACACAGCTCAGAGAAGGAGCCAGACTCCATCACGGCCCGTGGACCACAGCCCCTAGGGTTGTGTCTCCATCGGAAGTGACCACACATCTGCCTCTAGGAGATGCGGCCAGTGACCCACATTTGGATCAGTGCTGGAGGTAGTAGAAGTGACTGCCAGCCGCTGAGCTATGTCATTATGCCCCATCTCCAAGATCCCCAACCTCCTTTCAGGTACTAAAGTTGCCTGGGGGAGAAATTCAGAGGCATTCAGGGTGGGCTGGCTTCTAGGACGCTGGACTGCCAGCCACAGCCCACCACTGCCCACCAAGGGCGCATTCCTTCAATTCCCAGCCTGTTCTGATCCAGTGCCCTGTCTCCCTCTGACACTGTCCGCAAACCCTCCTTTCTTCCTGTGACCATGTCACTTTCTCCAGATGAGCACAGGCCTCCCCATGGCTCCCTTGGGGCCTTGCCTGTTGTGGCACGCGGCCGCCAGGCCTAGGCAGCAGGAGGGAGGCTGAGCCTTCCTGAGGCAGTATCTGCTACCCGCCCACCCCCCACCTCCACCCTGCTCAGGCATCGACCGCCCAACCCAAGCTGAGGCTCTGCAGGCACAGTCCCTCTCCCACCTGCCTTTCCCCTCCCTTCAGGGCCTCGAAGGCCTGCCTCGACCCTCTGCTCCTCTTCCTCCTTGTCTCCCCTTCCTACCCCAAAACCCCTCCAATGCTCTGGCCGCCTTCTTGCAATTTTTAAGGGCAGGGTGAGAAAGAATAAAGGAAGGTGTATGGGAACTCCCTGCGACCTGCCTTTCTCAGCTTCACTCACTTTTGCACACACATTTATACACACGCACGCTCTAAGTTCATTTTCTTTTGTGGTGCTCTTTGACATACTTATTCAGGAGCTCTTTTTGAAAAACTTTTTTTTAATGTTTATTTATTGAGAGAGAGAGAGAGAAAGAGAATCCCAAACAGGCTCTGGGCTGTCAGTGCTGAGTCCCGCATCGGGCTCGATTTCACGAACAATGAGATCATGACCTGAGCCAAAATCGGGTTGGGTGCTTAACGACTAAGCCACTCAGGTGCCCTTCAAAAGACTTTTCCTCTCCCACTGGTCCATGCCCTGTCCCCAACCCCACAAGTGTGACCCCATCCACCTGGGCGGAACCCTGGTTTCAGAAAAGTCTCAGAGCAAGCAGCTTGGGACACACCATTGTCATACGTCCTGGAGCTGATTGGAAAAGGGAGTCTCTCCCTTAGGGTGCTTGGCTGCTGGTGCTACTGACCCTATCTCCCCACCCCTGCCACCCCCCCACCACCACAGTGGGGAGCGGCCACTGGTGGAGCCAGCAGTAGGCTCCCAGTCCAGAGCTCTGGCCCATTGCTCCTGTGGCCTCCATGGGCCTGAGATGCCCAGGAATGCCAGATGTGCACTGGGACATCTGAGGTCCAGCTGCTGGCATCCCTGTGCGGTGGCCAGAGGCAGTGCCCCGGAACTTGCTCTATGGGCCTGTTGTCGCAGGAGGGGACTTCAGAGCACTCCCTTGGGAGTCTCCATTACTGCATCTGTTTTATTTGCATCTGAGGAGGAAAAAACAGGCAGGATGCGTGGGCTCCATTTCAGCGACCCAGGATGCTGGGCTGGCGTGAGAAGGACTTTAAGTAGTAGGTTCTGTCCTTCCTTGCACTCCCCTTCTCCCTCAGGATCTCCACCCCCACCCACCTGCTGTCTCTGTCTTTCTGTATCCCTGCCCCCCTCTCCTCTCACTTTGTCTCCTTCCCATCCATTTCCTCCTCTTTGTCCTCCCCTGCTGAAGGGGATAGGCCAAGAGGAAATCATTTAAGAATACATTGATTATCTAAATGTAGAACCAGGGGCGCCTGGGTGGCGCAGTCGGTTAAGCGTTTGACTTCAGCCAGGTCATGATCTCGCGGTCCATGAGTTCGAGCCCCGCGTCAGGCTCTGGGCTGATGGCTCGGAGCCTGGAGCCTGTTTCCGATTCTGTGTCTCCCTCTCTCTCTGCCCCTCCCCCGTTCATGCTCTGTCTCTCTCTGTCCCAAAAATAAAAATAAACGTTGAAAAAAAAATTAAAAAAAAAATAAAATAAAATAAATAAACGTAGAACCAATTTCCGAAGAAACTTAAAAAAAGAGAAAAGGCCCTAACCCCAGTGTGCGCAGTCCTTGGCACACCCTCTCTGGTTCATGCCTCTGGGAGGTAAGCCCTGTGGGGGCTGGGCTCCCTGGGTGGGGGGATGGGTCAGAAATAGCTCCTCATGGTTTCTGAGAGCCAGCAAGGAAACAGGGACTTCAGTCCTACAACCATCAGCACATGAATTCTGCTGGTAACTGTGCTCAGCTTGGAAGAGAAGCCTGAACATTAGATGAGAACACAGCAGGCTGATGCCTGGATTTCAGGCTTGTGAGATTCTGAGCACAGAACCCACGCACATAATTCCAGGCTTCTGAACCTACAGGATTGTGAGATAACAAATGCGTGTGATTTCAAACCACTGTGTTTGTAATCTGTTGAAGAACGAATTCAGATGCTTTAAAAAAGGGGGGGGGGCCTGGGTGGCTCAGTCGGTTAAGTGGCCAACTTCAGCTCAGGTCACGATCTCACTGTCTGTGAGTTTGAGCCCCGCGTCGGGCTTTGTGCTGACAGCCCAGAGCCTGGAGCCTGTTTCAGATTCTGTGTCTCCCTCTCTCTGACCCTCCCCTGTTCATGCTCTGTCTCTCCCTGTCTCAAAAATAAATAAAATGTTAAAAAAAAAAAAGAAATTGCACCTCTTGAAGACCCAGATTATAATTTGATACATGACAGTCCCCAGTGTCCTAACACCCCCTAATTTGCTTAAGAAGGAGCTGGAATTAGCTAAGTAGAAAGTATCTTCTCTTTATGGGTGGAAAAAAAAATCCACACCCAGAAATCCCAAGATCATACCAAATATGACATCGTGTTTCTGGGGCACATATAGAACCCAGAAGGAATGCTCTGCCTTGTCCTCAGAATATATGGCCAGTCTGCTAGGGAATTTTCTAGGCTTGTTTTGTGATTAAATGACACGTATCAGAGAACTTGGGGGATGGGAAGGAGTATCTTTTTATGCAAAGGCAAGTTTCTTTTTTTTATGTTCACACATGACAAACCCAATTTAACTGAAAGGGATAATATATTCAGTGGGTTCCGATTTCATTGTCTGCCCACCAATATCATTTAGGGAACCCACGTTTTCTGTTCCAGAAACACACAACATAACAGTTGAAAAGCACCTAAAAGGAAGTCCAGCCTTTTGAGTGTTCCAAAGGCAAGAGGAGGGGACAGCTTGCCCACGGCTCACAGCCTCA